GTTTAAATAGGTAGAATATTTCCCTGAACTAACAGAGTACTGCCTGTGAAAGCAAGATACCATCTAAGTCTTTTGATTATTGAAACAGATTTATACCTGTAAGTCATTCTGAACTCATTTTATTCGTAATGTAGGTAAAAGCATTACCCCACCATTTTAATTTTTCCAGCTCAAGAGTATGGAGGGATCAGGTCCAAGCAAGCTATTTACTGGAAGAATAAAGTAGAAAGGTTCTAGGTAAGTGGCAGGAAATCCCAGCTGTTGACCTGTGCATGTTCTGTTCTCTAGGTTAGAAAACAACCCTTCTCTTCTAGCTAATCAAAGGCTCAGTTCAGGTGATTCCTGAGCAAGAAAACTTCCCTGACCCAATCCCCACCCACCTCCCCTCACTCTGCTGTCCTGTCAGTGTCCCCATAACCCATGGCACTATATTCTAACAGTATTCTTCCCATTGTTTTTTAATTGTTAGTGTCATTTATTTCTTCGCACCAGACTGTATGCTCAGTAAGCACGAAGATTCTGTTTTATTTCTCCACATCTCTGGCACATAGTAGATGATTTGTCACATACTAGTCCTTCAACTAATGTGTCTCTTATAAGTAAATGAACCTCAAATACTTTGGTTCAGAGAAGCAGCTGAGGTTTTTTCTTTTTTGGCTTTGCTGACTTTCATGAAACTAACTTTATAAATTCCTTTTGTATTTAAAAATTGTAATTATTAACTCATATTAATTGTATAGATTAGTGGATTTCTCTGAGACATTTCCAAACATGTATATATTATGCTTTATTCAAATCCATCCTCCTTAATCCCTCCTCTTAATGTTCCCTCAGTCCCCTTACCCTTATTAGTCCCTCTTCTACTTTCAGGTCATCTTTTTTGTTTGTACAGATAAATGAAAATGTGATTCTTGTCTTTCTGTGTCTGGCTTATTTAGCTTAATTTGATATCCTCTAGTCCAGTTCATTTTCCTGCAAATGACAGGATTTTATTCTTCTTTATGACTAAATAATACTCCATTGTGTATATATGCCATATTTTCTTTATCCATTCACCACCTAGGTGGATTCCAAAACTTGGCTATTGTGAATAGAGCTTCAATAAAAATTGACATGCAGCTCTTTTGTATGTTGACTTCGTTTCCTTAAATATATACACAGGAGTTGTATAGCTGTATCATATGGTAGTTCTATTTTGAGTTTTTTAAGGAATCTCCATACTGTTTTCACATTGCCTATTCTAATTTACATTTTATCCAACATAATGTAAAGATTCTGTGTTCTCCATATCTGTGCCATCATTTGTTGTTGTTGTTATTATTATTTTTGATAATAGCCATTTTGACTGGGGTGGAATGGAATCTCAATGTAGTTTTGATTTGCATGTCCCTGATGGTTAAAGATGATGAACATTTATTCTTGTGCCCATTGGCCATTTCTATTTCTTCTTTTGAGAAGAAATTCTTCTATTGAGATCTTTAGCCCATTTATTGATTGGATTACTTCATAGCTTTGAGCTATAAATTATCCCTGACCTTTGAGGAAAATGCTTCATAAAGAAACCAAGAGTGGAAGAAGTAGGACTGGAGCCTGGTTCTTCCCCTACATGTTCAGTGGTCATGTCTGATAATTTCTCCTCTAAATCTTCCTTGGACACTTTGGGAACCAATTTAAGCTATGAAGGAAGAGGATAGTAAGTAAATAGTAAATAGTAAGTAAATCAAAAGCCTTTTTTGCTTACAGCTATTTATGTTTTTCTTTCACTCTATGACTTCAGTTTTGCTTAAAACAGGGGCAGACTGTGTGTGTGTGTGTGTGTGTGTGTGTGTGTGTGTGTGTGTATACAAGGTATTAAAATTATTTTAAAAATGGATGATTCAATGTATGATTAAACCAATATAAGTAACTTTTACATTGCAATACATGAGTGGATTCTGAAATCTGTAGGACTAATTTTTTTGTTAATAATTTAGTAACTCTAATCTCCTACGATATTAACTAATTTATATAGTTTTGTAAAAGGGAAATCACCACTTTATCTACTTTGGAATCCTGTCTGCACCTTTGATCAAAGTATTACTACTCTTTGAAAATGAAATATTCTCTTTAGACCCTCTGAAATGAAATCCTTCTCTGTTATATGTGATTACACAGACACACCAGTTCACACACTGTTTTCTGTTGATTGCTCTCAGAGGGACTGGTGTGTATGTTTACCTAATATGACTAACTTCACCTCTTGAAATCAGACCTTAACTTTTTCAAGTACCAGTTCTTTACATATTTTTAACTTATTTAATTATAAATGTAACATAAAGAGAACACATGGGGGGAAATTATATGTAATATCAGCTATAATTTTTTCAAATATTCTCTTTTATTCCTTTTATGTGCATATTTTTATATACTTATAATTAATGAATGAATTTGCAACTTGCTCTTTTATTTTAACAGTACTGATTCTTTATGCAGTCTTGGCTCTAGAAGAATGTGTGTGTGAGTGCATGTATAAATGGTTCTGATGCTGGTGTAGGAGTATAATAAAATAACTGATGGTATCAATGGCCTTAGAATTGCAGACTACAGTTGGACATCTGCAATAATCACTAATTTAAATAACTGTGCATACTCTCATGATGGAAAAATAATTTTGCAAAACAGGCAAGGGCAAAAAGAGAAAGAGGACTGTATGACCAATGTGATTCTGCAACCTGTACAATCAGAAAAATGAGAAATTATACCCCATTTGATTCAAATGAAAAAAAAAAAAAGAAAGAGGGACATATAAGATTTCTTTTAAGTTATGAGGTTGAATTTGCAGATGTCACACTTGTCAGCTAGATTATGGAAGGTTTCATATGATTGCTGACGTCAACCTAGGTAATATTTACTTTTCAAGGTTTATATAACTTGCTATTTATCAGATCAATATTTATTTCCTCTGAATTTCTCATGGAAAATAATAACCTCAATAGTAGAAAACCAAAGTGTTTCTTTTCCTTTCGCTCTTAGTTTTAACAGTAGAGACTTAAGACACTTTGGGAAGGCACTTTTTTTAACCTATGTCCAAACAAAGCTACTTTGGATAGGGCACTCTTAAGAGGTGGCCCTTAACATTCTTAGATGTCTTTATTTGGTGAAGCAGGGTCAATGACAATAACTTCTTTTGTCATGTGGTAGGTAGTTAGATATGCAGAGCTTCTAGAAATCCTGCAGACTGGAATGTAATTATGAATTGTGCCATTGAACATGAGACTTTTTTGCTTGATTTTTAATCTAAGGCTGATATTTTCCCCCACCCCTGCTATTTAAGGGCCTCCTCTCCAATCCCCAGTCACCAGTAAGGATGTGTACAGGGAATGACAACTTAATATTGGAATAAAAATCCGAAAGTAATTGGACACGTGTGTGTGTGTGTGTATGTATGTGTGTGTGTGTGTGTATATATATATATATATATATATATATATAATCAGAAAACTTTTGGCTAAATCACAACATGGTTCTTCTCAATTACATGGGTAAGAGAACAATCTGTTGTTTTTAAGCCTGAATTAAAACCATACTGTGTTTTGAGTCTTAGCACCTTCAGATTCATCCCTATTAGCTCTTATGGGGAAGGGTGGTGGTAAGGAGCTTGAAGGAGATGACAGGAGAACATGCTCTGGAACTTGAACCATGAGGAAGGTGTTCTCACACGGGGTGGGCAGTGGAGGTAACTGGGTTTCTGAGAAGGGAACCTAACTGGAAGGACAAGGTTGCCATTTTACTTTTAACACAGAACCTGGCACGTGGCTGGTGCTTTCTATGAACTAAGCCTCGGGTGCCCAAAAAACGTGCCCATAGACTGTATGGAAGAAGTTTGAGACCCTTTTCCTGAACCCTGGGGACCAATGGTCTATAACCCCAGACAGGACTTCGACACTGGAAGAGTAAACGTTAACCTCCGCCATGAGCATCCGTCAATCTCAGGACCCCTAGATTCCAGCAAAACCTTCGTCACCTGCCTCGCACCCACTCGCCCCAATGCCGGTCAACCCCACCGGAAGGCGGGGGCAAACTCCGGGTTCCGGAGAAGCTCTCGGTCCAGCGCGGTGGACAACCGTCCGGCTCCCGCCCCCAGATCGCGGCGGCAGGACGCTCCGGGGCGCGGGCGGGCTGGCGGCAGAGCCCGCAGCGGCGCGAGGCCGGAGCGACGGCCCGGCGGGGCGGGGGAGGGGCGGCGGCGGCGCCGGGGCCGGGAGCGTGCGCGCGCACCTCACACTCCGCCGCCCGGGGACGCCCACTCGCCAGTCGGGGCCGGCAGGCCGGTCCGCGCCCCGTCGCCCGCTCCCCCGCCCGACTGCTCTACGGCGTGCGCCCAACGGGTGTCGGCCCCGCGGCGGTTCAGCTCCCTCTGGGCCTACGGAGACAGGGACGAGGCCCGGGCCGCAGCCCCGCCCGCGTGGGAGCGCCGCCTCTCCCGCCGCCGCCAGCGCGAGCGGCTACGAGCTACCGGAGGCAGCGCGGAGGAGGGCCCCGCGGCGGCCGGCGGCCGGGCAGGAAGGAGCCGGAGCCGACCCTCTGCCCGCTGAGGCGCGGTAGCTCCCGCGCGCCCGCGGCCGCCCGCCTCCCCAGGGCGGAGCGAGGAATGAGCAGGCGCCCGCCCCGGGCTCTCGGACCGAGGGCCGGGGCCCGGCTTCCTCCCACGCCGCGGAGGCGCGGGAGTCCGGTCGCTGCGACCGGGCACGGCAGGGGCGGCGGCAGCCTCGCTCGGGGAGCAGGCGCTTGGGTCGACTGAACCGGCCGCGGTGAGGAGGAGGAGGAGCCGGGTGGAGGCGGCCGCCTCGCCTCCCCTCCCCCGCACACGCCGGGGTCGCTCAGTGGCCGCCGGAGGAGGAAGTTCCGCTCCCTGACAGACCGTGCAGCGGCGGCTCCCGGGGCTCAGGTATTGGAGGCGCGATTGCCCTTCGGGCCGACCGTCGAGGGTGCAGCATCGGAGCTGCGCCCGGCGCCCGGAGCCTGCGGGGCGGAGTGGCGAGGCGCGGGCGACCGCCTGCTCCAGCCTGCTGGCTTCACCCGCCGCCGCTGCCTCGGCTTTCGCGCGAGGTGAGATCTTCCTCCCTTTTGGGAGACTTGCGAGGAGACCTGCATTTTCTCCCCCGCCTCCGCGAAGGTTAAGAGCCCGTTGAATAGAGACGTCAGAGGAGATTAAGTGGACCTTGCACAACTCCTCGGACCTCGCCAGCCTCCCCTTTGGGGAGGGAGACCACATTTGAGCATCTCACTGGGGTGCGGGGATGGAAGAACCCACCTTGCAGCTTTTCTGCAGTGTGGTTTGCCCGATCTCCTCCCAGGAATGAAGAGGAGACTTCTGATAACCTGATGAAGTCCTCAGAGCCTAATGGCAGGAAGATATCACAGGACATAAAAGTAACGATCGTTTGGGAGGCCACCCAGGTTTCCGGATATAGTTGGACGAGCGTGAAACAGATACCCTTTTTAAAAAGCACAACACTCCTGTGAAAGGAGAAACATTGAGTTTATTCTTTTTTTTTTTCTTTTGGCCAAGATTTTGAAAACGGTTCGATGTCTTGTACATTTGGTGTAAGATGAGAACTTTATAAAGTATTCCGTCCGAGAGCCTAAACGATGACTACCCCAGCCCTGCTGCCCCTGTCTGGACGCCGGATTCCACCTCTGAACCTGGGGCCGCCCTCCTTCCCACATCACAGGGCCACCTTGAGACTTTCCGAGAAGTTTATCCTTCTCCTTATTCTTAGTGCCTTCATCACCCTGTGTTTTGGGGCATTTTTCTTCCTTCCAGACTCTTCCAAACACAAACGCTTTGACCTGGGTTTAGAAGATGTGTTAATTCCTCACGTAGATGCCGGCAAAGGGGCTAAAAACCCTGGAGTCTTCCTGATCCATGGACCTGATGAACATAGACACAGGTTTGTTTATTTCAGAAATTCTGGTGTTCACATTTGGCAGAGCAAGGTACAGTCATTGCATGTAATATGGTGGTGCTTTTTTTTTTTTCCTTTCTTTTTTTCTTTTTGGGCAGTAAAATGTAAAAGAGTCCTAAGAGTTGCATTGCTAGTTTAAAACTGAGTGGAATCGTGGACTGGAAAGATTGCTAGAGTCCCATTTCAAATCCAGCTCCTTTGTTTATTTTTTAATAAGAGTAATGCTTGTGTTCAGTGTTGTTTGATGTTGACAATTGGGAATGGAGGTTTGAAAACAACCTAGAGAAATAATGGCATATGCTGTGCCTACAGTTTATCAAGAACGTATTGCATTCACTCATCGTGTCACCATGTGGAATCAGTACATTGACAGCTCCCATGTGTTTGCTCTCCCAAAGGGCTCTAAATCTCTGGCTTACAGTTTAAAACTTAGTAGTGAATCTTAGCTTTGTAAATGACTAACATGGGAAGAATATCCGGAATATAACATGGTAAAAAAAAAAAAAATCCTGCTTTTTGTTATTTTCAGGGACTGTTGTGTTGGTGTTTCATATGGAATCAGTTTAGTTAGCTATTATCAAGTCATTCACTTTGGGAATCTTGTGGATAGATTTAGGTTTTTCCCTCCCTCATAATTTATTTTTTTCTCTGATCTTTTTGTTTCAGTATAAGAGATGGACTGTTAAGCCTTAACTATTGGTCAGTTAAGGGGTTCACATTCTTTCAGATCACCAAATATGAAGCGAGCTCTTGGAGATTGTAGCCAAATTAGGATGAATTCAAAGCCTTAGTTACAATCCCTTTAAATCATTTATATATTTTTACTCAAAAGAAGACTTTGGGAAGTAGTTTACTTTTTCTAAACCTATCCCATTTATTTTTGAAAATAATTTTTGAGTATGAAGAAAAGTCACACGCTTGAATTCAGTTTTCAGCTTATGTTAAGTTTTAACTTTTAATCGAGCATGATGATTTTGAAAAAGTGTGAGTCCAAGTTCAATACTTGGGAAAATACACTGTTGTAATGTTGTTTTTCCCGTTTCTTAAACTATTTAATTCATTACTTGATTGATGATTCTTTGACTTTTAGTTGAACCTTTTGGAGTAGTTCTACATTTTTCATACCATTCTTCTATAACTAAGTTATTTGGGGATTTTTGCTATTTTCAACTTTTGTATTCTTGTAGATTGTTTCTTTCATTTTGCTTTTTGTGACTTCGAGAAAAGTCTAATGTGATCTATGAAATGTTACTGAAAAATTAGCAAAGTAGTTTTCCTTGAAGATCTTATTTCCCATTTTATTTATATAAACTATGATGAATATTTTTAAAATATATATTATTTAGGACTAGCATCCAAGCTCTTTGTCACAGCCATGCATTAACATTATTTTTTATTAACAGTAAGCTGTCATAAACTAAGCGGTTTCCTTTATATTGTGTGATCTAAAAGTTTAAATAAATATGGGCAATTTTCAGTTTAAAACATCACATAGTAGTTGAAATTAAAAATTTGAGTGAAATATATTTGCATTTATTCAGGTTTAAAAAGTTTGCTTAAATTGTATAAGTAAGAATTCTTTAATTTATATAGCCCATGCATACATGTATATATATTCTTGCTATCTAAAATTCCTAGGTTCCTAAATTTGGAGATTGGATGTAGAGTTCTGATGGCAAAGGGTGATTTGTGACCCAAATTCTGATTTTTGGAGAGTAAGAACTCAGATAGCAAATGATGCATGTGAAAATTTATTGGAATCTTTTTGGTTCTTGAATTTTGGAAAGTGAGAATTTGAAGAGTTCAGTTAGTGAAGGATATCTGTATTAGCTTATATATATATATATATATATATATATATATATATATAAATTTCTGTGGTTATATAATTTTATTTTTTTATTTTCTTAGTGTGTTTTTTGATGCTTACTCTCATCTGGAAATGTAGCCCATAGTGATAAAAATTCTGTGAGAAGGAAATGAATTTTAAATTAAGTTTAAAATGTGGAAACACAAAACATCAAATTAATATGTAAATATTAACTTAATTAAAATATTTCAGAAAGATGACATCCCCACAGAATTGGTTGGTACTGGGATCATCCATATTTTGGGTGTGGATAAAAAGCTTAATTTAGAAGGCATAAATTGACAATTTATCTTAATTTTGTGTGTATGTGGAAGTGTTTGGGGAGAGGCATGAGGAACCTTACTTTAATAAGCATGGTCCTTATTCCTTATTAACAGTACTTAGGAGATACTTCTTGGACTGGTGTTTCTTTACTAATGGATCATTTAGTATAGTAGCTTGATGTTTACTCTCTGGAACACATGGGTTCATACTATAGTTTGCAACTGATTAGATGTGGGATCTTTTTAAACTCTATGCCTAAGTTGTTTCCTCTGTATGACAGTAGCATCTATTTTGTAGGTTGTCATATTGAATCAAATAATACATGCAAAGCACTCAACGTAGTTCCTAGCATTTATTTAATTAACCATACATTTTTAGCTATTATTATCAGTAATCATAATTATAGTTGAATATTTTAATTTGGACTCTGCTTTAAATATTGTATATGTTCCTGAAAAGTTGGGTGTCGTTTGGTTTATATCTTAAAAGTACACTAGAATCTTATTGTCTAAAGGAACATTTTATAACCATACCACTGTTAGCAGCAAATGTATATTGCATGTGAGCTGCCAGGCCCTATTTATATGGAGCTTCCTTATCTAGGAGGGATGATGGGCATTAAATAAATAATGTTGTTTCGAAGCATAATGAGTGCAGTGAAGTTGTGATCACAGCACATAATGGAGTTAGAGTTACTTAATATATGGAGTGGGAGTACAGGGCAGTGACAATTAGGGAGGCTTCATTGGGAAGCAAGGGCTCAGAAACTTTGAGTAGGAAATCACTAAATGAAGTATAAAGAGGGGAGGGGGGAGGGGAGAAGTGGCCAAAGAGGTGACACTTGTGAGACCCCTAAGGTAAAACAGCTTAAGGTCATTGAGGATCTGCTCAGTGTTAAAGTATGGTTGATGTAGAGAGGGACTGTGTGGGGCCAAGTGAGGAGACTAGATGAGAGGTGTGATTTGGCTTGTGTGCATGTTTTTTGGGCCTCTTTAACATTACAGAAGTTTGAAGTAGTTGCCAGCATTCTCAGATCAGGAGATTTCACATGAAATTCTGGGTTTCTGATTTCTTTTAAAAGATTAGATAGAGGACTGGGTAGCACCCAAGTTTGCATATTCTGATGGTAACTCTCAGCTCAAATCCAGCAGCAACTGCTCCCTCTAGAGGGGCACGTGCTCTTCATTTTATGCCACTCAATTAAGGTGTCAAATAAGTAAATGAAACGAATCAATATTTAACCTGGTTGTTTTTGAGTTTGTAATCCCTAGGCAGTAACCTGGAAGGTTTTCTATTTAGTATTTTGGTCTTTATCACAAGTGTATTAATGGGAAGATATTGATGCAAGGGTATGACATGCTCATTTTATATTTTTTTAAAAAGTAAACAATCTCTTTTGTTCAGGAGGGCAACCAGATAGGAGGGGTTAGGTCACAGAGGATATTGACTTAAACTACAGTGGTGATGTGGGGAGGTGAGAAATTAGTGAAGAAAAGAGATTAATTTAAGAGATGTTAAATTGTTCGGTTTTGTAGAAAGTCGTGGTTGGTGGGAATATGGGGACTGAGGGAGGAGGAGGAGGTAGTCCAGGTTAACTTAGAGGTTTCTGGGTTGTATGGCCATGGGCTATATTTATTTATATTACTTATATTTTATATATCTGTGTCATATTTGTACTATATTTGGCACCTGAATTTATTCAATTGATAGTATATTTTTATGAGGAAACAAGTATGTTTCCTTCTGTTAAGTAGTATACAAATAACCCAGAGTTTTCAAACTGTATTTTATATATTATGTATAATATATATTACCACCTTGAAGGTGGTAATGACATGTAATTTGGGTTGATTATGGTCATTTGTAGCATTTGTGACTTAAAGTACCTCATATGGGAATTGGTTATAATATACATCAATGTTGTTGCAATATCATCATAATTTGTGTATGTAAAAGACATAATTTTCATTTTTGAAAGTGGCATTTGTTTATATAATGGCTTTATATAATAAACTCTGTGTATGTGCATGTGAGTGTATGTGTGTGTTTCAAAAAAAAACTTATTTGAACATCCAGTAAGTTTCCTCTTCTAGTCAGAATTTTGTTAGTCTAAATTGAATATTTGAGGTTCAGGAATATGAGTACCTCTGTTAGTTTCCTCCAAGGGAAGAACATATAGGCTTTGGTGTAAGGAGGACCTAAAGTTGCGTCTTGGTTCTACTAATTAGCTAAGTTGCTTTGTTCTAGACATAATTGTTCTAAACCGGGGCTGGCCAACGCAGTAGCTTTTAGTCACCTAAGACTTCTGCATTTTTAAAGTGGCTGGTACAGATTGCACTGAATTTTAGTGAGTTTTTTAAGTTCTTTATACCATGATTTGGAGTTTTGTCTTTTATTACAAGAGTACAGATTTTGTGGCTCCGGAAACTGAGGCAGGAGGATTGCAAAAGCAAGTTGCTAAGCATTTATGTGATACCCTGTCTCTAAATAAATACACAAAATAGGGCTGGGGATATAGCTCAGTGGTTCAATCCCTGAGTTCAATCCCTGGTACCAAAAAAGGAAAAAAAAAAAAGTACAGATTTTAAATCTGACTGTTGCAATTTTAGTTTTCATGCCATCTTTCCTTATCTCATTTCTCTTCTGTGCCTTTTTCCCTCCTCTATCCTGTTCTCAACTTAAGACTTTCTGCTCCTTGGTTTCATTGTTTTATTCTCTAATAAGTCTTTTGGATATTATATTTCCCTTGTAATTTATTGCCCCCACTTGGCTCTTGAATATTTTCCTATTTCCCTTTACTTAGATTTGAATTATTTACTATTTGTTTATACTTGTCATTTGTCAACAACAG